CCGTCCATAGTTACCTATCTTATGAGAGCGCCATATAAACACAAAGTTGTCACCGCTTGACCATGCCGTTAGTGACGGTTGTTCCGTAAAAACCAACGAAGATTTGATTTTTTCCGTTAAACCGGCTCGGCTCATTTTTCGTTGCTATACAAGATTTGCAGTTTAGGCTTTTTTAAAGTAATATTAAATAATCGAAGATAATGCGTAGTTTTTTTCAAAAGAAATGAAAACTGAATTCGGAATTTGCTCTTATATTTGAACACATAAATTATGAAATTTGTTGACTTATATATTTGCTTAGAAGTGTGCAAACACACTGGCAGCTGATAACATTTCACCGCTCTCAGTAGCGTCGATAGCTCGTCTATGAATATCGCTCTTCCTGTCGGCTGTAATGGACGGATGGTAAGTAAAATGAGTAGTTGCAGCATTAGTATAAATCATAAAACAAAAAAACAAGGCAGTTTCACCAAATATGAAATTGACAGAAAAAGATTTTTTGACATTATATCTTATTTTCATTTTCAACTTCAAGATTTTGCCACTTTAAAAATATTTCATATATTTTTGTATTAGATTTCAGAAAATACAACGCTCAAACTTTGTTTTTTTTTTTTGATTACGTTTTATTTCTCTTTGTTTTTTTTTTAGTTTTCAGGGAAAGCTTTTGCAGCTTTTGTAATATTTTTTTTTTTTAGTTTTAGAAAGCTGAAAATTTCTTTTTGTAAAAAATGGAATTTGCAGCACAAGAGTAAAGCAAAAAAATCCTTTTATGTCAGTTGGTTAATATTTTTTAAAAAAAATTTAGTAAAACCACCTTGGTTTTTGTATTGTGGTATAAACTGTATTTCCCTCCATTTGTTGGAAACATCTCACGACGCAAAACTACAAATTGGAGGAGGAGCTCGACCGAAAACCGCTTCAGCGATTACAGAGCGCCAATTATGTATATACATATATACGTATGTATATTAAAACACGAAATAAATATGGGCATAATAGTACAATAAACATTCCGCCTCCTCCATATATCAGCCTATCTATTTCAGTCCTGGCGAACACTTGCAATAATTGGTATTTATATAGGGCTTTCCAATTTCGAGGTTTCAAGAGTATAGGGTTGTATTTTGATATTTGTCAAGCTTAACTAGCAAGTCAAAAATTTTTTGTATTACTTAAAAGTCAGGCATTTATAAAAATGCTTCACTTAATAATCACATTACGTGTTAAAATTGTTAAAACCTACTACAAAAATGGTTACATAAACGTGGTCATGAAACTAGATCGGTTATAGACTTTGTGAAGTCTGCACATCAACCTTTTGGTAATTCCTCCTCAAATATCGCTACTGTAAGTAAAAGGAAAGCCGAAGACCCGAATGTGTCTATTACTCGACGTCTTCAAAAGCTGCGACTTTCTTACGACGAAGACAATATGATATACAACTCCTTATCTCGTGAGAGCGCCAAAAAAAATTGGGTATAATTGAATAAAAACTTTGAGTATAATATAATTATTCATTAAATTTACCTTTCATACTCTTAAGTTCCAATTTTAATGAAAATAATGGGAATCCTATACGAGCAGCTAATTCTTAACTTAATAGATATTTTTTAAGTCACTATTATTGTCACATATGTACACGTATATAGATTTTTTTCAATAAAAAAAATTAAGCCCTGCAAGAAATGTTAATGTTTACTGAGTTAGTAGTATCACATTATCTTTGAAAGAGGAGTTTGCACTCAGATTTACACCTAAATCTCTATGAAGTCCAGCTCACACATTAAATGTAGCCAGCTGACCATTCACAAAACGGTATCGTAGGTAATTGTGTGCTTGAACCACTAGCAGTGGACGGCGATATTTCAAACAAAATTTAATTCAGCCACGAGGCAAATTCCTTACTCTACTCATTCACTAATTGAAGAGAAGTCATTACACCCAAAAAAAGAAAAAACTTACTGTCTGATGTGATTAGACCTTACTTCTTTGATAACGACAGCGGCAAGACTATCCCTGTCAATTCTGAGCGTTATGGTCGTATGATAATCGGCTATTCGATCTGAATTTGAAGAACACAACTTGGATTATATACGGTTTCGACCAGATAGTGCCACATTCCACACAGCGCGATGAAATATGGCTTCATTGCGAGAGAAATTTCCCGGCGGCGTAATCTCTCTTTTGGCGATGTCAATTGGCCACCGGGATCATGTGATTTTTTTGTGTGGGGTTATGTTTACCATGTTTATGCGGATAAACCTTTAGTTCTTGAGCACTTGAAAAGCAATGTTCGTCAAGTTATGACTGAGGTACTGCCTAATATATACCAATAGTGGTCGAAAATTGCCTCTAACGGACCGAAGTCATATATAATGCCAAGGTTCAAATTATATAATATAATAGTGGCGGTAATAGTAATAATTGAATATATTTATTTTAGATCAGATATAATTTTTACTTTTCGATTTTTATATTTCGGTCAAAAGTAATATTTCTTATAATAATATTGTTTTTTAAAAAAAAATTTATTCTCATAATCTTGAGTTTTATTTTTCTGTTCAAGTATAAACATTTTTTCTGAGTAAAATTTTTCCATTCAGAAACTAAAATATTTTTTTTTTATTTTTTCGATCACAACGAAACTCCTTTCTAATAAATGAAATACTTTGTTTTTAAACTAATCAATGAATTAATTTACTTAACTTTTGTGCGTGAATGAAAAGTAAAATTTAAATCTTATCGGAAAACTATAAGTTAATGTTAATAATTATTTTCTGAACGTTAAATGAAAATATAAATTTATAATTAATTATAATGCGATACGTGGAATTTTTAGATCTTTTTCATTGAAAAATTAATAAAAAAATGGAATTTCTTAGAAAATATATTTTAAAGGCATTTCTTACGTTCATTTTCAAAGCCGCAAAATGGATAGTTAAGTTGAGTTGAGTTGCTAGAATTTCAATAGTGGCAAAGTTTGAAGTTGATGTTCCGGTAAACAACTTTGAAAATTAATATACATTGCCATATCAACTAGAAACAGCGCCCGATTAAGACTGATGAATGAATGTGGACAGAAAGAGAGCCAATTATCATACTGCCGGCTGCTCTTAGATTTGGAAGGAGCATCAACACAAGTCAAAGGAGTTTTGAGGACCGGGAAAGTTAGAAAAGTGCGGGAGCTTCGTCATGTTTATGGTATGCATTTCGCAGCCTGGGCTAGGTTTCTTTGGTTCCCATGAGGGATTGATGATTCAAAACCAGTCATAGCTCTTTTCTTTCCAAAAACAAATTTATTTTTTATATAACACGATAATGTTACTTGCAACAAAAGCAGGGTATTAATACTCCCTCCGGACTTTAGTAACACAGTTTCAAAATGCTTTCAAGAGTGATTGAGTAAACTAATGGAGGCTACCTGTCTTACTGACTTAAAACACATTTTCTAATTTTAGGAGTTACAATAATAATATTGTTTCTTTAATAATAACCATTAGTCAAATAATTATGTATTTTTAATATTATTTTAGTTTCAAATAATTTTTGTTTTGAAGACCATGAAATTTTCGACGTCTGTACCTCAATTGAAACAATTTTAACGATAAATTTATTGCATATTGCTCATTGTAATTATATAATTTTTTCACTTCAATTACGTCATACAAAATATAAAAAAATAATTTTAATGCTAATCTAAGGTATGTACAAAAAACTATAACGCTCTCTCGTTGCAAATTTTACTGACTTCGGCGGTTCAGTAAATTTCAATACCGATCCAAGAAAAAAACTTTTAGGTGAAAGTCACTAATCGACAGGTATACGAAATGATTTAGGCCTTTGGCCGCGGTTACGGACGCAGCGGTGATGATAATAATGCAAACTAATTATAATTTCAATCTAGACGTTCTTCTGAAGCTGCGTCAATGTCAATAGCACTTAGCTGGATTTAATATTCAGCCGGAATAAATAAATAAAAATATTAGCAGAGAGGAGGAAATCATTTGAAAAAAGCCACTAATTTAATTTAAGTTTTCACTTCTTTATCATTCATGTAGTACGCTTTTGAAAAAACTAAAATGTATAGTTTTTGTAACTCGTTTGCTTTTAAGTTTAAATTTGTTAGGTAGGTGTGTGGCAGGCTTATTCTTGGTGGACTCTGAAGGTACCAGCCCGAAAATACTTGCCTGTGTTACAATGCTTCAGATAAACGTTGGAGTCGAGTCTCTTACCATTTTTCGTGGGTCTACGTCAGAACGGCGACGAAATATAAAAGTTTAGATCTGCTAGCTGCATAAATATATATAGACTCTTGATCGATCTGATAATCTTGGCGTGATGTTCTACCATTATAGCTTGCGTAGTCCACGTAGTTTGGCAGTAGCGGTAAACTCGTGGTCCGGCGATTTTGATTTCGATGTTCGGTGTGTGGGACATAGGCAAATCTCATGGTTTTTGTTGTCGCCTGCTCTTCGCGTTTTTCCGTTTTCGGATTCGTTTGACATTGCCCTGGTGACACACATATATACTTTTATGGCATTTATTTCCTATTGGGGTTTATCAGAAGAAAAGAGAGCGAACTAAGAGCATACTTATACTAAAAACTTGTACAAACATATGTATTATTATAATATATATAAATATATATAAATAGTAATATACATGTGTTAATAGGAGAGTACAAAGTAGCATTTCAACAATTTTTCTCCGCTTGCTTCACGAGTGCATGAGCCAAATCAGTCATTTGCTGGCGGTCGCGATGAGAAATACAAATCCGACAAAACAAGGGAAATATAAATAAAAACATTCATCTGTGGGTAAATACATAAATAAATGCCAGTGTTTTTTTCTTTGTTATTTCTTCACAAAACATTTTTGATGTGAATTATGAAAAGCCTTCAAAAATATTGTGATTATATAAGGAGAAATTGTGCCATAAAAAGCTCAGAACAGTTAAGAATAAGTCCAGACATCAGAAACATAACTCATACGCCAAGATGGTCAACGTTGATTGTCAATCGAGGCGAAGTACGAAAATATCTGTGATCATTTTGGGCGCTGCGCTATGCTCGGTTATGATGGCTTATTTCGTTTTTGGCGACAATAACGATGAACAGGGTTTGAGAAACCTACGAATGATATCAATAGTAAGTTTCAACTAATCTATATGACAGTATTTGATGGTATCTACTATCTTAATGAGCTTTAGGTAACATTTGTATATTAATTATAAATATTTACATATCAGTGGCGTGGTGAGGGGGAGGCAAGATTGGCAACATGACCCAGGCGCTACTCACAAATGATGCGCTGGCGCTTTATATCCCATCCAATATTTGGTATGTTTCTTGTCTAAGAAATGAAGGGCCATTCGTTCATATTTATTTTGCGATATTGTATATAAAATGAAAAATAGATTAATTTTGAACTAATTCTAGATGATCAAATGAATATCAAAATTTAGTCTTGTTTTCTCAACTACATATTTTAACTGAAATTTAGAGTTAACTTGAGCTTTTGACTTTATTTACTTCACTTTATTCACTACTAAAAAAGGTAATAGGGCCCCGGATGCGATTTAAGTTCGCTACGCCACTGATACATGTGCAGATGAAGAATTTCACAGATAACAGATTATTTCTGTGGGTACATACATACATACTGTTTTTTCACATAACTCTATTTATAGGTTTTTCGGCATGGCGAGAAGACGCCAAGTTCCTTTTACGCAACTGATCCACATTCACTCCATGACTGGCCAGGCGGTCTGGGAGCCTTGACACAGGTGAGGAAACAAACATCGTCCTAACATATTTTCAAATTTTTACTTATTATTACTTCTAGAGGGGCAGTCAGCAGGCTTATAACTTAGGTAAAAATTTGCGTATGCGTTACTATCGTTTACTGCCTCCTAACGGTATATATACACAGCAACAGGTGCTTGCTCTAAGTTCAGCTGCTGAGCGTTGTATTATGAGTGCGCAAAGTGTCTTAGCTGGATTTATGCCACCGCTTGATCATAATAAAGTTTTGGTAGGTATATATATATATATACATACATACATATGTGAGTACGTCAATGCTGCAACAATCTTCGCTCTTTATATCCATTTAGCCAATTCCATGGCAGCCAGCTGCAGTCAATGTAATACCACGTAACGAAGACACGGTAAGCCTAAGCCTGTTTGTTTTTTATGAAGTGTGGTAAGGATTTCGCGGATAAATTTCATACATGACAAAAACTGTAATTATCATAGGAACCGGCCAGATCAAACCACTATTGCATATATTCGATCTATTTTTCAGATTTGAGATTTTAGCTCATAAGTTTGTAAAAAAGCATGTAATTGCGTGAAAATTTCGTATTATACATTCATGTCTACAAATAAACATTGTCACCACAAACCATCGAAACGGGACGACTTCATCATATAGCTCCTCTAAAATCGATTTGTTTATATATGAAGTTTTCGGCCAAAAATCGAATATAAAAAATAAACATTATCACCCAAAGTCATCATCATTTTTTAGATACGACAATTAATATGACACGACATGACATGACAGAAGACAGCTCTTCTTTCTGGTTTTCATATCAAAAAACGTTTTTTGCAACCACCACTGTCCCATACCGTAGATATGTATGAAAATATCAACAGCTTGCCATTCTAATTACATTAACGAATTTCTTTCTTGTGTTGTTAACAGCTTTTGGCACAAAAGAAACCTTGTTTGAAATATGACACAATACTGCAAAAGTTATACAAGAATCCTCCGCCCGATGTGCGACAGCTCAATGAGGAAAATGCAGAATTATTCAAATTGCTAACTAAACATTCAGGCAAGGTGTGTATTGTATTATTCAACCAGCGAAAGCGCATATCGTTGATGAAATGTAGAAAAATCAGTACTGAAAATTTTTAATTGGATAGTACAACAAAAAGCTGAGAGAAAACTTTAACAGCCCTATTTGAAGTAATATGCTCTGCGGTTGATATTGAAACTACTTAAATATAATAATTTAAATACATTTTTTGAGCTCTTCTACAGTTCATTAACGATATTTATCTTCTTAAAAGTTGTTTTTTTGCTTTTTTTTTGCCTAATCCTATATAGAATATATCTACCCTCACGGATGTGGAAATGCTTTACACAACACTAAAGGCCGAAGCTGAAGCAGGATTAGTGCTACCTGATTGGACGGAAAATATCTATCCGGAGAAATTGGAAGCGCTAGCTGCCCGAAGTTACTCCCTTTATACAGAATCGAATTTAATGAAGAAAGTAAAGGGAGGCGCTTTCTTGGCAGAAATCATTAAAAAAATGGAGAATAAGCGGAGGAAAAATTTAAATCCGGATCGCAAAATATTCTTGTATTCCGGACATGATATCACATTGGTGAATATTATGAACACTCTTAGCATACTGGATCAAACCGATGTTTTGCCAAGTTATGCTTCTGCATTATCATTTGAATTGCATCACAGCTCCTTATTTAAAGACGATTTCGAAGTAAAAGTGAGTATTACAGTTTGTTTCCTACTTAGAATGAACACATTTTCATTTTCAAATACTATTCTGTTACAGATTGTTTATTATTATAACAGCGAAGATAAGTTTCCCAAGGAAATTCACATACCGAACTGCAACGTGCCATGTTCGCTTACTCAATTCAGTAATTCTCTAAATCATCTGCTTCTTGATAATTACGATGATACATGTGAAAATCCGCTGGCAGACTGCAAAACATAGATATAGTAGCAAAACATGCAAGATTTTAAATTGCTAATATTGATATTTTTTCAGTCTTAAATATAGGAAACACTTGGTAAATTAACATATGTACATATACTACATATGTATGTATAATACGTGTATTGATATATCGCCTGAGAATGTATGTAAGGTTATACAATTGGCAAATAATTTGCATATATCTTTAGAAATTTTTTTACCATATCGTTCCCTCGTAAAAAATTTTTTAAATTAGATTTTTAGTTAAAACTGCTTTTTAGAGGTACTGTTACTTGAAACATATCCTAAAATATTCTTAACGAGGGTAGAAGTTTTCAAAGACGTTTGATTTTTATCTTAATGTTCGAACTTAAAACCTCGTATATAACGAAATGTTTTTCTAAATTTTTAATAAACATTTAACTAACTTTAAAAAAATATGCTTTAAATTATATGTAAGTTAAATATTTAATAAAATGTAAAATAACCCTAAATTGCATTTTGATGATCTTATAGAAAAAATGTAATAGAGCCTTGTATTTAGTAAAGAAAACTCGTATCTACAAAAAAGTTACCGAGGTAATTGACATGAAAACTCATATCTATGTGCATAAAATTGATAATTACAATGAAGTAACGATGAAGTTTTCAAAATTCATGTTTCATCAATTTGTGGTATGCGTCTTGATGTTTTTCCAACTAATGCTGCCTCTGAACGGCCGATGGGTTTTTATGAGGAGCTTTGATTTTCAGGTCAGAAATACTGCGGGTGTATTGATGATATTCCCTGCCGAAGAGCGAAAGCAATTTGAAAAATTAATACTGGATGTTAGATGTTGGTCAAACCAGTAGGAGAATTCTCTATCGTATTATAATGATTTTCAAATCGTTAAAGTGATGACATTAATTTCAACGATAATCGCTATTTTCTATGCCTGAGTTTACATCAGGATACTCTGGAACAAGGCTCATCGAAATCTGGGGTGAAATGCCTCCACAGAAAACTGGCGTCGACTGCAAAGCGGAACAAAATGACAATCGGCACGCCCTGGACCTTCTCGTTGTATTTACATTCTCTGATAGAAGGTAGCAAACAATCAGCTGTTCGATTTTGTGTTGCTAATTTGTGAAAAAATTAAAAACCAAAATGAATAAACATATTTAAGTTTAGAATTAATAGAATATGAAGAAAAAAGTGAAAGAAGACGTGTGTTAAGAAGCTTGCGAGAAAAAAATTACCCTTTAAGTTTGCCATTCAGTATTTTCGCCTGAACAAAACAATTTGTTTAGAGCTTATTAACAAATTGGCACCATATGCCAATGGAGTAGATATTCACTTTCATATATAACATTTGAATGGAAATTTTATTTTTTTTTTTAGACAGAAAACATCGTTGCCGCTTTATTTGAGGTTTCTCTCAACAACAAAATTGCTTTTCCCACGGGTCGTATCAGGAATTCGTTGGGGGCAATGGTCTAACTGTAATGAACCAACCTTCTGTTTCCACAGTTCGCCGAGAACCACGACAGTGAGCAGACGTGTATGCGGAAAACTACTAACTACACCATCTAAAAACAAACAAAAAGTAAAAAAAAAATTTACATTAGAAAAATAGCAGAAAAAAGACTGAATACAAACATAGTTGAATTTAAAATACAAAAGAAAAGTGAAAAAGAAAAATAAGAAGAACAAACGAAATGCGCCCCGAGGGCGAGGAGCAAAATGGTTCCTCAGCCCAAAACAACATAAGAAGTCGAAGCAATAGCCGAACAAGAGAGCGGGAACAAAAAAGTAAAGCGACAAAAACGCAACCAAAGAAATCACAGGCAATGCAACAAACTCAGAAACGATGACAAACAAAATGGCGCGCGAAAATGCTAAATATAACGACAACCACAAAGGCCCTTTTATAGTCTATCTAGACAAAAAAAAACCAATAGAGAAGGCGAGAGAACACCAATTAATGCAATAAGAGTCAGCAAACTTATTCCGGAAAATAAAGTTAAAGATGTTATCGACATTGTGAAAATTGGATATGGCAAATGCAAAATTACCTTTAAAAACGGCAAGGCAGCAAACAACTTCAGTGAGTTAAACAACGACCAATATGAGGCGAGAATTTTTGCGCACTTCGTTTCCAAAATAGAAATAATGTTTGATGTTCCGACGGATATCTCAGAAGAAGAGCTCTTAGAAGATATATCATCGCCAGTCAAAATTATTCGAATAATGAGGGTAATGAAGACAAAAGATGGGATAAAATACCCAACCCGCAGAGTGAAAATAATCTTCGATGGGCTAGGAATCCCTACGGAAGTAGAATTTCTGTATATAAAAATTCAAGCGAAGCCATACGTAGCATTCGCACAATGCTATCGGTGCTTCCGTTTCAACCACTTTGCTCAGCACTGCAAACAAAGAAAATCTATTTGCTCTAAGTCTGGAGATTCACATGACCACAGTACTAATTGCACAAGCGTGAAGTGTGTAAACTGTAAAGGAAACCATGAAGCCACCGACAAAGAATGCCCTGCGAGAAGTAAAGCCTATGCCATAAAAAGCATAACAACGTTAGAAAATCTAACCAACCAGGAAGCAAGAATAAAATACAAGAACATTCTTGGAAACAGATTTGAAATACTGAGCAATAACACCACCCTGGACGCAGAATTCCCACAAATAAAAAAACATATAAAACTAAAATGTATAACAACACAACAGAAGCAGTGAAACATTTGCATCAGCAGTTTTCATACGCTAAAATAGCGAAAATAAACAACAACAGAGTAAGGGAAGAACAAAATGCACTACAAACAATGAACAAGTGGAGAAAAATGCTGGGTAGGCCAGCTTGGATAGATTTATACAAAAACAGGACGATTGCACAACGAAAATAAAACCAAACCATTAACAATTGCTTAACGCAAAGTACAACAGAAACTAATAACAATAAAGCCTTATATGAAGCATTAGTAGCCATTCAAAATACAATAAAACAAATGACAGTCAATACGGATTTATGGAAAATTCACAAAAAGACACCGTAACATGACAGCAACAATAAAAATCTTACAATATAACATATAAAGTTAAAAAAAACAAGGAAACAAAGAACTTTTAGAAATCTTTATGCACAACAATGACATAGTTATTGCTATTTTATCAGAAACCTGGCTTAATAGCAACTAAGAAACAAGTCTCCAAAGCTACAATTATATTCACACGAAAAGACAAGATGGATACGGCGGAGTGGGAATTTACATTAAAAAATCCATCAATTTCTAAATTTTTAAACTAACGTCAAATATTGAGAACACAGGAATCACAACACTTAATTTAAAAAACAATATTAACATCATCAGCGCATACTGCCCACCCAACACAACAACAACAGAGTTCAAAAACGAAACGGATAAGCTATTCACCGAAATCAGACAATTTAATAACACTACAATCATAGGGGGAGACCTAAACGCAAAAGCTACAACATGGGACGCCCAAACAACAAACAACAAAGGACGTACGTACATAGCGACAGATAACGAGATTTATTGCCTAAACGACGATACGCCAACATTTACCCTGAACAACATTTCATCAGCGGTAGACGTAACGTTTATAAACAACTATATACGATACACCTGGAAAACATACAACAAAATATCCAACAGTAACCACAAATCAATCATCATCACGTTAACGGACCAATTTACATTCCAACATAAACCTAAGAAAATAATAACAGCAAACATACTAAAGGATATTACCACCCTAAAAATTGGACCTAATTTAGAAGAAGTCAATAGGGAGATCCAAGGGATAACAAAAAACACACGATAAACAAGGACAATAATAAATACGTTCCAAAACAGTGGTGGACAGAGGAATTCCAAAAGCACAATATAAAAAAATATCAATGCGAGAAAAGTATAAGAAACTCATGGAACCCAACAGAGCAACAAAAATACTTAGAATTCATAGCCAGTTCACCGATTACGTCAAACATCAATAACCAAGAAATCAATAGTCCGGAAACACCACCAGAAGAAATGTCACTCGAAAACTTCAAAAAATTCCTACAAACCAGAAACCTAAAATTCTCAAAAGGTATGGACTTGCTTACATACAAAATGCTGGCTCTACTTCAGACTGAGGAACTAGAAAAATTATGGAAATTGTTAATAAGAGTCTGGCAAGAAGAAATAATCCCCGAAAAATGGAGGGATATCAAAATAATACCCATACATAAAAAGGACACTGATCCAGCCAGCGTTTACAACTATCGCCCAATATGCTTAATCTCAGTGCTAGCAAAGTCCATAGAGGGAATCCTCAAACTGCATATAGATAATAAGACTACTCAGCTCAACAGTATTCCGGAAAGATCATACGGTTTCAGAAAACACCACTCAACAGCGCAATGTATAAACGACCTAATAAATACAATAGCATTCCATAAGGAAAAAAAAAACAACAAGTAATGGCTGCTTGTGTGGATGTGGAAAAGGCATATGGTGCAGTCGATGTCAACATCCTACAAGAGGCACTTATAGAAACTCAGTTAAATCCAAAAGCGACAAATTGGATAACATCATTCCTGAGAAGAAGAATATTAGTACTCGAACAGCAAAAAATCATTACAGAAAATGGGCTAGCCTAAGGCAGCGGACTCAGCCCCACATTATTCAATCTTTATACGGCAAAGCTACACCAAATAACAATAGGGAGATTCACAAGCATCAACAACTCATGCATAGAACACGTAAACCATATAGTAATCAAAACTAATAACACAAGCAGATTCTTAAACATCGTCAGCGGATGCACCTTAGGTATAGCACCAGCAAAACCCCTACAACTATACACGGCATTCGCCAGGGCCAAGTTGGACTATGCAGCGTCCACGTTTACAAATATGTCCAAAACCGCCCACCAAAAAATATCCACTTTCTGCAAAGCATACATAAGAAGATATCTAGGCTTAATAAGATCATCGCCAACCCACGTCATATACCACATGGTAGCCGAACTGCCACCAAAATACAGATTTGAATTAGCCACGGCAAAGGAAATGATTAAAAGCATAGCGTATAATCTACCCGCCAAAAGATAATAATGATAATTAATAACCAACTCAACAATAAGACAAACTACGCCAGAATAAACAAGAAATACAGACTAATTCTATTTAACATTGCACCAATTAAAAACACAACCAACCATACCAATAAAATAAAAATAGACACAAAATTTTTCAAGACCACCTATAAGTCCAAGAGAGAAGCAAACCAATCAGTTATCAACGCAACATATAGGGAAAAAATACATCAACTAGAAATAAACCAATTCGAAATAATATTCATGGATGGATCAGTTAAACGTAACTTATCCGGCGCGGCATTCGTACACGAAAAAACAAACACAACCAAATCCTTCTATTGTATCAAAAACCTATCAT